ATATGCCAAAAGTAGGTATATGCCAAAAATATATATATGATGTGGTAAAACATATATATTCTTTTAATCTATGGGATATTTTTTAGGGATTTTGCAGATACCTGGAAACACAATTCGGTGACCTTAAGCAAAGAGGTGTCGTGATCAGCTTTGATGCTCGAGCTCACCCAGCAAGTGGAGGCAGCAGCAGAAGGTATTTAAAGATATTTACAAAATGATATCTTTGTAGTGTATGTTGTGACTTTATTTTTAATCACCATTTCAATAGCTTGCCTTTAAAAAGCATTTGTCAGCTGCATTGCTTAACTATAAAAATGATGGGTAAATTCTGTATGCAACTTTTAAGAATTCTGATTTTACATTTGGGTTAAGAAAATGAAATCATTTCAACAATTTAGAATTTAATACCTATCTAAAAGAAAAAAAAATTAAGAGAGAATATTATTTTTCCCTCTCACTTTCTTCCTTTTATGTCATTTTCTTTCTCCCACTACTAAGCCTCATGAGCTCCTTTCCATTCTTGAATGCCCATTTTAAGCTGTGTTCTTGTAACATTCCCAAGCCAATGAGACTCTTACGAAGCTGTGAGCAGATGACGATGGTAATGGTGGTGGAGATGATGATGGTGGTGGTGGTGATAGTGGTGATGATGATGACAGGCTAGCAATCCTTTGAGTGCTGAATGTAAGCTAGGCACTACTCATTTAATCTTCACAACAACCTGTAAGGTATGTACTTTTATCTCTTTGCTCTAAGATCATAAAGCAAAGAAGGAGCCACAATTAAACATAAAGAAGCTGGTACCAGGGATGGCAAATTTTTTCTCTAAAGGACAAATAATAAACATCCTACACATTGTGGGTCATACAGTCTCTGTCACAATTACTAGTTCTGCCATGTACCACAAAAACAGCCATAGATAATACATAACTGAATGGGCATGACAGTGTTTCAATAAAACTTTATTTACAAAATGGGCTGTAGTTTGCTTATCCCTGCTCTTAATCATATAATGTGACCTTTTTTTTTTAACTTGAGTACCTCCCTTATTATTATTATGAATTTTTTATCATTCTGGAGTATAAGTATTAGTAGTTTCTCAGATCAGAATTCAAATATTTAATATTATTGAAATTCTAATTAACTTTACAGTGCCGGATGAGTTCATAGATCGTAATTTTTGCCTTTCAAGAGCTTCTAATCTAAGAGAAAAGGATGGATGGGAACAAATGTGTGGCTGCGAGGAAGGGAACATGGCCAGAGCAAAAGACTAGATGACATCAGTCCCCAGATTGAACTCAGAATGGCCTAAGATTTTTGGTCTTCAGCTAAAAGATCAAAAATGTGATTTTTTAAAAATAATGCAAGAGAGGAGCTGTAGCTCTCAGGGAAAGATGCACATGAAGTACATTCACAAGAGAGTGATGTCGTACGAACCAGAATATTAGTTTGTCAGTTTTCAGTTATTGAACTTAAGTTAGTTGGAATTAGATCATATACATACGTTACCAACCCCAGGGGCAGACCAGACCCTCCAGCCAGAGCATGTACAGTGCATATATATGACTAGCTGCTTGTTTAGCATCTCAAATTACTTCATTTTAGGCTGCTTCTGGTTTACACATCCTTCAAATATGTTAACATAGTCAGTTAAGGTACAGATATTTCTTGCTCTGGCCTTAAAGCCATATTATTTTCAAAAAGTAACTGATGTTACTAATTCTACTTAAGTTTATGGTTGAAGTCTCAGTTGGACAGGATGGGATGGAGTGGAGGTCAGGGCTGCCATCACTTGCAACATGCAAGTATTTAGAGACTGTAAACTAAATATTAAGCCAGTACATGGTAAAACATTTATAATGAATCAATGGAATATTCTTAAAGTGTTGGATACTATTGCAGTCTCAGAATTTTACCTAAGGAAATGTTTATTTGTTCTTTAATCTTCCGATTGTAAATATCTAGTGGAGAACATAAGCATATGCAGAGAGCACACTGAATCTTTTTTTTATGCACATTTGTAACTTAGTTCATGTATATCATATATATAATAATCATATATATGTTGAATGTCTCCTTTGCCAGCTTTAAGAAAGCTCCTTCAAGGTCAACCTGACACAATTAATGTTTCATGCAGGTGAAAGTGACTTCCATGCCATTCATTCTAGTAAATGCAATTTAGGTTTAATTCAAATTTTCATTAAACTTGTTTTTCTGCTGAATTTTGTTATTTTTATGACTTCTGCTATGTAGAGGCAATTTTTTTTTTCTGTCAAAATCATTCTTGTATTGCTATTGATCCTAGGAATTTTCAGTTGTTAAAGGGCAGAGTTTCCTCTTTGTGCCCCCAGACAGCTCCTGGAATAGTGTTTGGTGAAGCTAGTGCTCAAGAAATATTTGGAGAGAGAATGAATGATCTGATTGTTTAATCCTGTAGTGGTATAATTTGTTCAATGGAAGAAAATTGCTCATTCATTGTGGTAAAGTATTTTACTCCAAGCATGAAGAAAGACTTGATGCTGTGTTCTGTGTCCTACCCTAAGCCATTTGCTGTAGAAGTTGAGAAAAATATCAAAGTGTCAAAGATTTAGGTTTTCTTTTATGGGCTGGATGGAGCCAAGGTGTATATATGTCACATATGTATATGTCACATATATACATATAATATACACACATGCATGCATGTATATGTCAGCATGCCTTGTATATGCCAATAAATGCAATATGTAATTAAATGGTAGTGTGCGTGGTCTATCCTGGATTGTGATACCTTTAGACTGGGGTTTCTTAGTTCCTGTACTATTGACATGTGATTTCATAGTGGGACGGATAATTCTTTGTTGTGGGGAACTGTCTCGTGCATTGTAGGGTGATTTATAAGCATTCTTGGCTTCTACCCACTAGCTGCCAGTAGCACCATACCCCTATCCCCATTGACAACCAAAAATGTCTCCAGACATTTCAGATGCCACGGGGGAGGGTATGGGGGGGAATCACTCTTGGCCAAGACCTACTGAGATAGAGAGTTGAAGGACCTGGGCGCAGGCCTGGCTCAGCTGCTGTTGGACATATGGAACAAGTTGTTTGGCCTTTTTTTTTGCTTTAGTCTCCTTTCTGAAAAACAAAGAGGTGGAATGAGAAGATGCCTAAGATTCTTCCAGCTTTAATGTTCTATGCCAGTGGAAAAACAATAAATGTTTTCCTTGATCTGGCTTCTATACTTAACCTAAAGAAGTGGTAAGGCATTAATTTCCTCCTTTACTGTCTGTCACCCATGGTCCTGACAACATTCCTCTTCTTTCTCTACCTGTCCCACTGCCTTTCCAGATTCGCCCGACTTGCTGCAACTACGTTTATCACTCAGGGAATTCCTGTGTACCTGTTTTCCGACATAACCCCAACCCCTTTTGTGGTAAGTAGCTGTTTTATAATTTCCTATCATGGGACCGGGGTTGGGGCGTGGCTGAATCGTACAGGCCTTAGTGCTGTTGAGATTCAAGTATCTGAATGACAGAAAAGCTCCCAGACATTTATTGAGCATCCTCTCTTCTCTCCCGAAATGTTTCTCCCACGTCCGAGTAATATTTCTCTGGTATTCAACTTTTGATTCGTCAGAATCGATTTATTTTTAAGTGCAATTTTCCTTTTGCTTATATTCAAAGGCTGTTTTAACTAATTAGCAAAATATATTTTGTTTGTTTGATGTTTCATTTGGTTTATAGGTTTTTTTTCCCCCCCGGCTATCACAATTAGAAAACTTCTTGTGTCTAAACCATGCCTTAACCATGAATACTTTTGACAAGGTGGTGCACCAGCTTTTTCTACAAACGCATCGATCTAAATATTCATGACCAATTCAGAAAACATTCTTGACATGTTTTAGTAAGATTTTTTATCAAATCCTTAATGTAGCAGAATCTAGAGAAAAAGACAACAGAGACTGTGGCAGATGTTGTTTTTAACTAGATAAAACTTCTAAGAGCGGGGCCAGATGCTCACAGTATATGTTTTAAGAAGTTAAGCCAAAAACATGATTTGAATGCAGTTACATCAAGTTGAGATGAGCGTGCATATATACAGAAGTAAGTTCGACTAGTTTTGTGTTTACTGTCTCCAGCGCACTGACAGGTAGATGTAGCAAGTCCTAGATTGTAAATATCTCGGTGGACAGTCAATGTCACTTCCAAATTTGGTTCAAGTTTCATTGTTTGATGGCAAAATTACAATGTTATTTTTATATCAGACATGAATTAAATGAGTGTCTCATGATCTTTTCCCACACCATGGAGCAGTTCTCCCCTTTTTTTTGTTCCAGGACATATGAAGGATGTGAGATAATGCCTGAGAGGACCCTGTTGATTCATCATGGGAGGCTGGAGGGGGAGAGATGATTAGAATCTGGGGCTGCCTGTGTATGATAAATCTCATATGCAGCCATATATATATTAAAAAGAAAGATTCGAAAACTTCTGTAAATATTGTTTCTTCTACGTGCTGGAGGATACACACACACACACACACACATATGTATATATACATATATATGCGTGTATATATATATATATAAAATGTTTGTTAAAAGGGAACAAGTTGGCACAACAAATAATATATGATAGACATTTTAAGTATATCTAGTTTTTTGTTTAACACTCTTCTTGTTTCCTACTATTACAGCCCTATACAGTATCACATTTGAAACTTTGTGCTGGAATCATGATAACTGCCTCTCACAATCCAAAGCAGGACAATGGTTATAAGGTATTTTTACTCTTCTACCCACATGTTTGTCCTTCTGTAGGAATCCTAAACCTTTACAGTTTGGGAGCACAAGGAATGGATGCTTTTCCATTAACCTTACACTCTCCGGATATGTTTCTGCATTCTCTAGGTCTATTGGGATAATGGAGCTCAGATCATCTCTCCTCATGATAAAGGGATTTCTCAAGCTATTGAAGAAAATCTAGAGCCATGGCCACAAGCTTGGGATGATTCTTTAATTAATAGCAGTGCACTTCTTCACGACCCAAGTGCTTCCATCAATAAGGACTACTTTGAAGACCTTAAAAAATACTGTTTTCACAGGTAAATGGATTGTAAACTCACCTCAAGTGAGTTAAATTAATGTAATTTAGCCAAATTCTATCAGTATTCATTTAAGTTTTCTATTGGTACATATACTGTAACTGCATCTGATTTTTAGAGACTGTAGATAGGGGGTTGGTAATGTTTCTTAAAAGACAGTAAACATTTTTGACTTTATGGGCCTTATGGATTATGTCACAACTACTCAACTCTGCCATAGGAGTCGAGGAAAGCAGCCATAGATGATACATAAATGAATGAGCACAAACATAGCTGTGTTAAAAAAATAATAATAAAAAATAAAACTTTATTTATAAAAGCAGGTGGTTGGCTCACAGGCCGCAGTTTGCTGACCTCTGTGGTAGAATCATATATATGTAATGTGAAGGTGTGTGTCTACATACGTTTGTGTGTATATGTGTGTATATGTATGTAAAAAGAAAACTGCTGAAAGGTGTCAAATAAGAAACGCTGGCTTTTTTTTTTTGTCTTTCCAGAAATTTTCTGTGAATATCCAGGCATATTATAAACGTAATATATATTTAAGGCCATAAATAGAAATATACTGTACATGTAGTTTGTTCTATGCCTTTATTCTCCCAGTAACTATAGACACAGACTAGATAGTTACACAGATAAGACAAGCAGAGCGACAGTGTTGTCCTTCTGTAGTACTCTGTGGGTCCCCACCATTCCCAATTGTCCTCCTAGCAAGAAACCGCTGATTTCAAAGAAGCAAAATTTCTAGATTGTCTCTAATATTGTGCTTGTTGGGTCACCGGGAAGTGGAGGCTCTTGTTGAACCCCAGTAGAGTGTTGAACCCCAGTTCTGTCTGAAGCGAGCGACCACATGAGCTGGGTGCTAGTATGTGCAAATGTATTCCAGAGTCACCAGATCATCAGCTTTTTTCTCCCTAAAAGAAACTGGAAACCTAGATTTTGTTGGTGAAATCTCTTAATTTTTAAATGATGGGGACAATTCTTTAAATGGTGAACAGTCTAAACAAAAGACATCTGTGTGCCTCCCCTCCATCCCTCTGATTGAACTTCACAAAGACTGAGGGTTTTTAGTTTTCTGCTGCCCTAAATGGCTCTGGAGTCAACACCCTTGAGAGTACTTTGTATGTGTGTGGGGGGGAGGGGTGTGTGTGCACGTGTGCGTGCCTGTGTGTGTGTCCTTAGGTACATTTCTGGCATCAGAATTGTATATGCATTTACAAAGTTAATAATGGTTAACAAATTGCTCCCTAAAAATGTTACACTAATTGACACTCCCACCAACAGTATATGGTAACAGTATATGATCCACACATTCTTATCTACACTGGACATTATCAAATTTCTCATTTTTCCCAATTCGCTAAATGAAAGTAGTATCTCACTTTATTTGCATTCTTGTAAATAAGCTATTTTTTCATATTTATTTAACCTATGTTTTTCTATGTATTTGTCCATCTTTTGCAGTTGTAAAACCTCTTTGCTTATATAGAAAACTAGTTTTCATTTCTTTTCAAATATTGTTTTCCATTCTATTGTTACCTTTGGACTTTTTCTTTGGATCTTTTTGCTGAACTTTTGTAAAATGTGATAATGTTTATCAGTTTTTTAACTTACAGCTTCTAGGTTTTGTGTTATACTTAAGAAGACTTTCTTTACACCAAGATTATTTTTAAAAATCCTCCCCCTTTTTTTGAACTTACATGTTTATTTTTTGTAATGTTTAAATCTTTTGAGTCATTGGTGATTTTCAATTTTGTATGAGTTACAAAGTAGGAAGGCAAATTAGTTTTTTTCCGAAAAGGTTTGAAGTTGTACCAACACATTAAATTGAAGAATCTATCTTTCTTTGAGTAATTGAAAATATCACCTTTATAAAACAATTTCTAACACAAATTGAGTGTTTATTAGATCTCAGATAACTGCGATAGGCCCTTCACTTGTACTAATTAATCTCATTTTAATCTTCACAGTGATGCTGAGGGTAGGTTCTGATGTATTGCCTTTTTATAGATGAGAAAACAGAGAGGTTAAGTAAATAACCAACTGTCACACAGCTTGTAAGTGGCAGAGCTCCAGGATGTAAATTCAGTCTGTCTCCAAAGCATGTTAACCACTAAGCCTTACTACTTCTCATATATATTTCCCATTTCAAATTTGATCAAATTCTGACTCTATTCTGCTCCTTTAATTTGCCTTTTTATATCTAGTACTCTTAGAACTAAACTGTTCTAATTGTGTTAGTTTTATAATTCACTCTAATATCTTAGAGATATTTTCCCAGATTTGTTCTTACTAATGTTACCTGTTTATTGTTCTAGATGCATTTTATTTTCAAGGGGATGTTTGTTTTAAACCACTATTATTAGAGAACACTTTGTTCATTTACTCATTGCCAAAAGAAACAGACAGTAACCTAAGCTTCCGTGTCCTGTCACATTTGGTTAGAATGGACATTTTGAAAATCATTTTTGAAGCTAGTAAAGAGTCCAAGGAGCTCCAGAGCTGGCACTGCCATGGGCAGCCACCCATGGGCAGCTGCGAGTCTCTCCTGGAGCCCAAGCCTGGGGCTCGCTCTTTTATCCCATTCTAGATGTAAACGCTGTTGCATAAAACAAACTCTGAAAGTAATCAGATATGCTGAAAACAGCTATAGAGTAAAATTTAAAACTTGAAATATGTTGAGGGAGGGGTGTATATTTGGGAGAGAGTGGGTAAGTTTTTTTTGTTTTTTTTTAATGGAATTAGAAAGATCCTCAGTTGTCTTATTCTTATGACATTGATATTTTTTGTAGTTCGGGATCTGGTTTCTTGATATTTTGCAAACCTTCCAGTTTGGGGAGCCACATTTGTATATTTTATCAGTTTCCACGATGTGTCTGATTCTAGGAGTGTGAACAAGGAGACCAAGTTGAAGTTTGTGCACACCGCCGTCCACGGCGTGGGTCATGACTTTGTGCAGTCGGCTTTCAGAGCTTTTGGCTTCATTCCTCCTGAGGCTGTTCCCGAACAGAAAGATCCCGATCCTGAGTTCCCGACAGTGAAATACCCAAACCCCGAAGAGGGTAAAGATGTCTTGGTAACCTAATATTGTCAATTATACAATTTACCTCTTATCTTCAAAAACTACTGCTATCAAGTAAAATAAGTTTTTATGTGCTTTCATTGTGTTGAACACCAACAACAAAAATTTCATCATTGGACATTTTATGTTTATTAATCATGTCTTAAAGGAATTTTCACATTAGATATATTAGCATCAAATAAGAGAGCTGAAATCTTAAAGACGTTTTAAATTTAATTTAATTAAGTTTAAATTTAACCTACTGTGCTTTTTTAATGCCAAAAAGGAACAGTAATAGAATGGAAGTTTATCACATGATTTTTATCCCTTAACTGTCATTTTTCTGATAGGAAGAAGTGCTATGTAAATTGTACCTCCTTCAACCTTTTTTAAAGGTTAGGGTAGCAATGATATTTAGAGAGTCGGTTTATTTTGGTTGGTTTGTGAGGCTGATCACACGCGAAGCCTGGAAATACCAGTCCAACCACATACACACATACACACATACACGCTATCAGATGTGGGGTGAATTTAATGGGCAGTCTGGGGTCGTGAGTTGATATCAGCTCCCATTGTCTGACCTCTGGCTTAGGAAGTAATATGTGACCAGGCAGGACCAGCTCCAGAAATAAAATTCATCCTTAGTTTGGGGAATGTTCTCTTTTAGTTCTTAAAGAACTGAATGTTTTTAAAGACTGCAATGTGCTCGATTCTTGATTGAAGTACTCTTCTCTTTCTACTCTTTTTCAGACTTTATCTTTTGCTTTGGCTGACAAAATCAAGGCCAAGATCATTTTAGCAAATGACCCTGATGCTGATAGACTTGCTGTGGCAGAAAAACAAGATAGGTACAAGTTAATTTTGATTATCTAGAAAACGTAAAGGGTGACTTCAGATTAAAATGTTTTGAGAGAGACTAGACCTATTTAGAAATATTTCCTATTTATTTTGCAAATGATCACCTCACTGGACCTTTGTCAAGTCCTCCAACACAGAGTAAGGTGCTGATTTGGGAGCCACACAGTTGGCAAGCATAACGCAGAGTAAACCAGTCCAATATGTGTTTGGAATTGAAATTACTATTTGTTATCTTCTCTTATTTTATCATTGATTTCATTATAGTTAATGACTCAGTGGCTGCTGGGGGCAAAGTACTTGGCTTGGTGCTGGCTTTACAGTTCAGTACTTGCCAAAGGGTTTGGTAAGGAGCTAGACCTTCAAGGAAATATTGAATTTAGGTTGAGCAGACCAGAGAGGAATACCTGTGGTATGGAGTACTGATAGTGTCAAGGCATATTTGACTGTGGAGTTTGTTGTAAGGTAGGCAGAGTCCAAGTAGTTTCGGGTATCAAACAGCATATGTGATGTTTTTGGGGGTAGTGGGGTGCTGCCAAAGGGTTAGGGTTTTAGATTATGATGAAACAATTTCAATTCTGTATAAATTTTTAGGAAATTAAGCTAAGGTGATATATGCTTAAATTTGAGGTGTACTTCTAGCCACCTGGACTACAGAGAGGAAGATAAATCACTTATCTGTTCTTGGGTGTCCTCACTGTTTTAGCGCTAGGGTCATTATTGAGAAATGCCACACTATTGCCCTCTCAGAATCAGCAATACCGACCAGACCAAAATTGAGATCTATAAACTATTATCCTTAGAGGATCTTGCTTGCATATTTCTGTTATGTTTAAAACAAAAGCTTTTGTTGAGGACCAAGGTAAAAGCATTATGTCATCACTGACATTTTATATGTTCTTTGAAGATAAGATGTTTGTCTAGGCCAACTGGCTGAGACATGGTAGCTGTTTGTGAAGTGGCAGTCACATTTCTAGCCAGTTTTTAAAATAAGAATAATAAGAACAGTCTTCCAGAAACTACTCTGAAGCTTGTTTAGCTTAATTGTCTCACCTCAGTGACTCCTAATGTCTCTCTTAAGATCACTGCAATGCACGGTTGTTTTTTCTTTTTCCAGTGGTGAATGGAGAGTGTTTTCAGGCAATGAGTTGGGGGCCCTCCTGGGCTGGTGGCTCTTTACTTCTTGGAAAGAAAAGAACCAAGATCACAATGCCCTCAAGGACACATACATGTTGTCCAGCACTGTCTCCTCCAAAATCTTGCAGGCCATTGCCTTAAAGGAGGGTTTTCACTTTGAGGTAAGGTGTTCGGGGCACAGGCTCTTTCTCCTTTCTTTTGCTCTGTAGAAGGTCTAAGGCCTGTCTTTCTCCTCTGGATTATTCCTTTAGGAAAAATTAACTGGCTTTAAGTGGATGGGGAACCGAGCCAAACAGCTAATAGACCAGGGGAAGAATGTCTTATTTGCATTTGAAGAAGCTATCGGTAAGAAGTGATAATGATGATCGTAGAATTAGTTAATGTATAGAATGCAAAAAAATGAAAAAAGATGTGGATTTGGATTTGGGTTCAAAAGATGAGCAGTGAAACAGAAACACACAGTTTGCTTTGCTTCTGCGGCATTTCAAAGAGCATCCTACCCCTAAAATGGCAAATCAGATTTTTTTTTCAGCTAAAAAGAATATCTCGTAAATAACAGAGCCATTCATGTAAGGAAGCGAATTCTTTCCCCAGATGACTGAACACAATGGTGTCCTGCACATGGCTACTAGAAGCTTAAGAATCCACATACTAGGGGAGTTGTGATATTTCCTCAATTGTGGTGTTGATATCCAGGTCCAATATGTTCTCTCCTCCTCCAAAAAAGCTATGCAGAAGTCTGTCCAGAGGAAAGGAGAAAACACGGTTGTGGTGCCTTCACCAAACTGATTGTCACTTGAAAAGATGACCTTGAACCCAGCTAGAATGACTGAAAAACACTTATCTTAAATTGTCAATGTAAATGAGCGGAAAGGAGAGCTCGCCATAGAAACTTGAAATTCAGCTGTTTGTGCTGGGGGTATTTTAACTATTTGTTTAGTTATGATACATTTTACTTATTCTATAATATATATTCTTCTGATTGATCTGTGTATTTTCTGCAGCACACATCTAACTAATTGATTAAATGAAGTATAATAGCTCAGCTTTGCTCTTTTGTTGTCATAATTGACAGTTTTGTCTTTTATAGCTTTTTATTTAAAAACCTTTTTTCATATTCATTTATGAAATATTTATTGCATATCAATTATGCAGTGACTCTGAAAGAAATGGACTCTGACCTTGGCCTATAGCAGCCTACAAGAATCTTTCTAGTTAGATAACCACACAAAAGAGGATAGGCCACATGTCAAAACAAATAATATAACTCACAATAACTGTGGGAATTCAGAGAAGACAGAATAAGCATTGACTAGAACAATTGGAAACAATTTTGTGTGAGCGGGAGGGATTTGGCCTGGACCTAGGAAATGAGCACTTTTTGGCTAGGAGGAAGACTCTCCTTATGGGTTATTCACCAAATACTTCTTGAAAGCCTACTATGTACTAGGCACTGGGCTAGATTTTTATATACAATGGTAAATGAGAACTATCCACATACTCATACTGTACAACCTGTCATGCAGTAAGCAGAATGCATATAGATATGTGTATGCACAGCATTGTAAAGCAACCCGCTCCTAAGGGTGTGTGTCTGACACGTGTTTCTACAGGATATATGTGCTGCCCTTTTGTTCTGGACAAAGATGGAGTCAGTGCCGCTGTCATAAGCGCGGAGTTGGCTAGCTTTTTAGCAACCAAGAATTTGTCTTTGTCTCAGCAGCTAAAGGCCATCTATGTTGAGTAAGTTTCTATTGACTCTACATAACTGAAATAATATTTTTTATTAGTTTCAGGTGTACAGCACAGTGATTCTGTGTATGTATATATTATGACATGATCGCTATAAGTCTATTGCATGCATCAGTCTATTACTACATGCATCACCACACGTAGTAATATTTTTAAATGTATCACGTACTTGTGCACAAGATACTAATATTCTTTCCAACGCTCTTACTTTAGTTATGAATTCTATTTCTTATAAAAACCAAATAAGAAATTACCTTTTCCCTTTGATACTTAGCCATTTAATAGTAATTACCATTTGTGATGACAGTAACCTTTACCAGATGAGAACATTAGCCACAGAAACAGCTAAAGAATATGATTTTAAGTATCCGATGTCAAAAAAGATTAAATATGTTTATGAAACATCTATTTAGTCTTTTTATAGCAATTATTCAGCTGTGCCTTTGTAGTACAAAAGCAGCCAGACATGATGCATAATGTAATGGGTTGTGGCGTGGCTACATTTCTATAAAATTTTTACTTACAAATATAGGCTGAAGGCCAGGCAACAGTTTGGTGGTCCCCTGAGTAAATTGTTATACCTCTTTCTTAATGCTGAACTATTCCTTTGAAGCTAGTCATGGTCATTTGTTTCATTAAGCGTTTTAGAATATACTGGTTGATACATGTTCTGTGTATACTATGCAGAATGATTTGTTCCTTATTTTGCATGTGTTTGTATTTATTTTGATAGGTATGGCTACCATATTACCAAAGCTTCATATTTCATCTGCCATGATCAAGGCACCATTAAAAAATTATTTGAAAACCTTAGAAACTATGATGGGAAAAATACTTATCCAAAAACTTGTGGCAAATTTGAAATATCTGGCGTTAGGGATCTTACAACTGGCTATGATGATAGCCAACCTGATAAAAAAGCTGTAAGTAATGCCTACTTTTGTCAACCTTTTTTTTCTTTACCTTCTATTATACTTTGAAAAGCTTAACTTGTATATCAGTGCAATATTATGAGTCATAATAAGAAATATATTTGGTCTCTGTCCTCTTTTCTGGCACAGAGCTCCTAAAACCCTTAGAATTTCCCAAGTGATGAGAGCATAAAGGTGTCTTGTGCTTTGTTGACAAGAAAACTCAGGTAGCCTAAGGATGGGGGCTGTTGCCAGGAGAACCAACCAGGAGATTAGAGTTTGAACTTTCAGTCCCATCCTAATCTCTGGGGAGAGAAAAGGGGCTGGAAATTGAGTTCAATCACCAATAGCCAATAATTTAATCAATCATTTAATCAAACATGCTTATGTAATGAAGAGGGTTTGAAGAGCTTCTATATTGGTGAATATGTGGAGATTTGGGAAGAGTGTTGGCTCAAAGAGGACATGGAAGCTCCATGCTCTTTCCCATACCTTGTCCTAGGCATCATTTCATCTGGCTGTTCCTGAGTTATAGCCTTTTATAATAAACCAGTAATCTAGTAAATAAGATGTTTTTCTGAGTTCTGTGCGCTACTCTAGCAAATTAATCAAACCCAAGGAGGAGTTCTTTGGAACCTTTGATCCAAAGCTCATCAGTCAGAAGCCCAGGTGACGAACTAGACTTGTGACTGGCATCTGAAGTGTGTGTGTGTGTGTGTGTGTGTGTGTGTGTGTGTGTGGCAGTCCTGTAGGACTGAGCCCTTAACCTCTGGAATCTGATGTTATCTTAGGTAGCTAGTGTCAGAATTGAATTCAATTGTAGGATACTGTGTGGTATCATAATTGCTTGAG